CATCTAGGAATTTTTACAACTTGCAGTAGGCAACATCCATTATGTATCATTCCTGCCAAGATCAAGAACAAATATTCCTATTACAATGTCAATTGAAATGTAATTTGCAAAGTACATATAGTTCTGTGCATACCTTTGGAGTCAGATCTGCTCCAAACAACTAACAAGTTTTATGCAGGGTGGTCCAGGAAAACTCACAGGACATCTGATGCCAGGGTATGCCCCATCAACACATTTCATGGCCAGGAAGTTTAAGAGAAAAGGTGGAGCTCTTCCACTAAGGTGTAGATTGACATACCAATGTCCAACTCACCAAGAGGATTCAATGTGCTCCTTCCAGAACCGGAAGCTTTTCCTTTATTCCTCTTCCTACTTATTTCTGTGTGTGTTTTTGTGTTTCTGTACCTCTCTTCGGGGAGAAACGTATTTAAAATATCTTATATTCTAGGTTCAAATCTTCCATATTTTCAGCTTGGTTGTATTAAATACCTGGTCCCTCCAACTCAAGTTTCAGACAAGATGGACTCAAACATAATGCAGTGAAAGTGAAGATTTCATTGTTTTGGAGAAAATTATTACAATCTCTAACTTTAGTGGTTACAAAAGGCATGAATCAATAAGCAGGCATATATGAAACTCACAGGTAAACAGTGAAGGAAATGAATGTGGTACATTTAGGATGCAATTTATAAATTCTGAATTATTTTTCTAAACCGTAAATAACATGAATTCTCTCAAATATGGATTTGCTTCATATGAAATAAAACTATGAAATCAAATAAAAGCAATTTTTTAAAGTAGATTTTCACAAGTTTTATACATCCAAAGCAAAACACATTCTTTTAAACTTGTAGAAAATTTTTTAAGGAGCACATTAAAATCACAGGTTAATTGAAAAGGTACCAAAATTGATGGCAAGTAAGTGTTGCCCAATACAAAACATCATTGCTTACAATGTTCAGAAGCAGAAGCGTTAAATAATATTCTTTAAACATCTGGAAATTTAAGCTATAAAGAAGACAACTGATGAGGATGATTTAGAAGAAGGAGCAATGGGGAGATAGTTTAATATTAAAACTAAGCATATTTGTCATCAACAAGGGCTAAATGTTATTCATTGTATTGGTTTCCAATGCCTACCATAGCAAATTATCACAAAGTTACACCTAAAAACAACACAAACCTTGGAGTTCTGAAGCCCCTCCAATAAAGATCGGTTCGTTTGACATTAGCAGCTTCTATCAGCAGTGTGGCCCTCAGACCTGGCCACCCCCACCTTTACTGCAATCCTACCCCAAACTCTGAGGCCATCATCACACCCCTTTCCCCTCTCCGAAGTCAAACCCACCTCACCTTCCTCTCTTAGAACGTCACAAACCTTACTGCAAATCAAGACAAATCCAAACAGTCCAGGATAACTTCTCCATTGCAAGCTCTTTGTGCCAGATAAAGTAGCATCCACAGATCCCAGGGACTCAAAAGTAGTTATCTGTGGGGGGTTGCTATTCAGTACACCACACTAGCGGAGATAAGTGGGTTTGAAAATCTTCACCTAAGGAGTTCTGCAAATAAATGCCTTCTTGACCCCTTTTCTCAACACATGCCGATTTTTCATGGAAAGCATTAGCAAGGTCAGAGGGTCCCAGTGAGTATCTTTCAGCACAGTGTCCATGTTTGAGAAGCAGCACACTGTCTCTCAGGCTAAGCTAGAGACACTGGCAGCACAGAGAGGGTGTTGGCTGCTTTGAAAAATGTCACCATTCTCGTATTTACTCAACGGTCTGCATATATATTATTAGTATGTGCTTATTTTTGTGTTGTTTAATCAATGAATAAGAAATCTGGGTTTCAGATTAAAAAGAAAGAAAAGCAGTTTTCAAAATTACTCATACCGCGCCAACCCAATTATTTTGTATATTTTTCTCTTTAGAAATGTTCGTTACTTATGGAAGGCAGGGCTGACAAAACAGAAATAAAGCAGACACTGCACTTACCACTCTGGCCTTACTAATTACCAGGTTGTGCGTGATTGTAGAGAGTCAAATGCTTATCTTCATGACGAATTCAAATATACTGGTAAAGAAAGTAACACAGAAAAATAAAAATCTCTTTAAGCATTTGATGACAGCCTATATTTTTCATGTGAAACAAGAAACGGAGCTGCTAAATTTAAGAACCAGATATTTGACAAAACGAGGAGATCATTCTATTTAAAAGGTTGTCTGCCTAGCATCACTAGTAATCACTACATTATCAGTTGTTGCAATTTCCAAAACATTTCTTAATTGATGTGAGACCATTCCAACTCATTTACATCAAGCATCCTGGCAAACTCTCAATGAGTAAGTGTGACGTCAGTGTCAGAACAACTGTTAAGAATCCCTTTGACAGTGATGGGTGATACGGTATTTTTCTAGATCACAGAAGGGTAGTAAGAAAATCCACATGCTAAGGTATAAAATCAACTTGCTCTCCCCTACAAAAAGTATTCAAAGCCATGCTCCTGAGAAATTCTACTCCATACATCATTGTTAAGGAAGCAAAGAAACTGATGGGTCCAGGGCCCATGCCAATGCAACACAGACCTCAGATATGCAGCAACTGGTCAGTGCAGTGTTCAGCTGCAGCTTCAAGCTCTCTCAGATCTCCATAGGATATGTCATTAAATCCCGTCCTCCTGCTGGGGCTGACTTCTGGGAAAAAGAGTATATGACAGAAATATTACCATATTTGGTAGTGCATACTAATGATTGCTCAGGAGGCTCATCCTTCAGCTTCTATGGCCGTTAGCATGTAGTTGTTTATAAATGAGACAGTGCTTCGATTTAATAATATTTTTGAATTTATGGTTCAGCACTTACTATATAACATTTACTGGTAAAATCAGATGCCCATATGTATGAAGAAACACACACACATTTATTTTTGAAATCTTCCTATTAAAAGATTGTAAAAATCAAAGCAAAATCCCACGGCCTGTCTGAGGCCCATTTTATGAATATGCTTATTTCTCTTAAATTAGTAGGATATAGTAATAGGTTTCAGAGAGAGAGAAAACAAGCTATCAATGTTTTTCTAAAGTTTGAGAACTGGAAGCTCACTGCCATCACATGGATCATAAAAATGTAAATAGATTTCCATGTTGAAAATATCCTTTTCAGTATGTGGGATGGCAGAATAAAGTTTTTGAAATGTACAGAAATTATTCTATGATCTTTCTAAAAGCAACCAGTAGTACTTTCTGTGAAACAAATTTGCAAGTTGAATTTCATACAGGTTACATTACACAGGGCACACGAAAAAGAATTCCAAGCAAAGAGTTGAGAGAAATTCGCTTAAAGATACATTTTTACTGCATATAAAAAGCCTTCTGATGTTTGATATAAAGCTGATTATACTGGACCCAATGTGTTAAGAAACAGTATTGTTACAAACTAGGACAACAACAATGCTGTGTTACTTCACACAGCACAAACCACTCAGCTATACTGGCTAATAGCATAAGTGGCACAAAAACTTATTTTTACCAGGTCCAATAAACAAATTCTCAGAAGTTGGGTATATGCGAATCAAGCATCAGCGTAGATATAAGACAATATAGATGCCATAACACATACTGCTCTTTTCTGATGAATCCATAATGAAAAATCATATATAAAATCTAAATTTTATATCAAAATTTTTAGTGAAAAACAATTCACATCAGAAGTTAACATCACTGGGGAGTTAAATGATTAATACAAAAACAAGTACACATTACAAATATTCTTTTGTTCTTCACTTACCATGATGCAAACTGCAAGGATCTAACCTTTAAGGGTTAAAGAGTTTAATCAATGTCAATGTCTGATCTACTGAAAGCGATAAAGAACAGTCTGTCTAGCGATACCCAACAGAACATCACTTTGTCAAGCCACAAAGCACTCAAAAGCTTGTCAAGGAAGTTACCAGAAACCTCTTTGTGGTTAGAACTCAGCTCCTTCCTGCTTGACCTATTATTTGATATTTGACCACTTGGTTGCAAGACACTTGCTCTTTCTAGCTGAAATGTCACTGGGGCATCTTGTCAGCTCCCCGACATCTCGGCCTGACATACAATTTTACTTTTGTGTGCTACAAGGCAGAAAATGCAGGGCAATGGCCTTGTTTTAAATTCTGTCAGCATCAAAGATGGGCGTCACTCTTGGGTCCTACCAACAACAAACACGAAAAAGGAGTCTATTTTGAAGGTCAAAACAGCCATTACCTTGAAGTTTTTCAGCTTATATGAAATATATTACGTGCTATTGTGGTGTGGGAACTGTCCTTATAAAGTGCCTAAACTTACCACAGAAACCCTCCCTGCACAATCGCTCTACCTTGTTATCACATGCAGCCCTGATAACAAGGATGAGTTTCCTGCAGGGACCAGATGCAGCAGTTAACTTAACTTGTTCAAATGGGCAAGTGGTATCATGTAGCTTTACAAGCAGCAACCTGACCTTCTCACAAGGACCAGGAATGACATTATTGTGCGGGAGGAGAAGCAGTCACATCATTTCTGTTTTGCACAACCTGCTTAAAGTTTGCAACTAAATGCTTGTCTTCAGTTGAGCTGACAAGAGAGAAGAGGGGCTCAGTGAACCATGGCAGGGCTGCCATGAAATGACAGGAATCATTGGCATACATTTCAAATAGCTCTCTCAATCCTATTAGAGTATTGCAGCCTTGCTCTAAAATAGACAAGTATGAAACAACTTTGATAGATAGAGACTAAAATGGCTTATTGATTTTTTTTAAGTCCGAGGGAAATTACCCAAAATGTGTCATTCTTTAACATTTAAAAATATGTTACATAAAAAATGAGTAACTGGATAATAAATAAAACCTAAGAGTAAAAAAAAAAAGTTGGGAGATTTCATTATTCAAGGAGAGAGAAAGGCTCAGACACATCAAGATATCACACGATTTTTTGAAACCCATTGCTACTTGTGCTGAAACAAAATTCAACTAAGAAGATACCCCTTCAAAACAATTTTAATTGCACAGTTAACTCTTTCTTCATTTGCTTATTTCAAAAAGTCACAGCCCAGTCTGACTTGGTCTTCTTGTGCTGGCAGACATAGTCACCGGAGAGGAGTGGGATGATGTCAGGGCACGGGGAGCAGAGTTTATAAATGTCTCCTTTAGGTAAGTGTAAGTTGTATCAAGTTCAGCCTCCAAAGGAAAAAAATCCCCAACGCCAACTGTGTCTGCAGCAAGTGCAGGTCTTGAAGGAATGGAAAGATTTGAATGGTCTCGTGATCCGGTCTGTGGCAGAGAAAAGAAAAAATAAACACAGCAATGAAAACCCAAACAGAACCTAAAACGACAAACATAGCAGTGGACTAACGATTACTGCAGTACAAAATGCAATGAAAATTACCATCGAAGGCCTCTCTAGGTAACATATGAACTTTGAATTGTTTTACAAATGTGACTGCATCCGCTAACTTACTGTATGTTATAGACTTTTTAAAGCAACAGAGGTTTGCCTGAACACCAATGCTGTGTATAAAATTTTGATGAAGTTATTGTATCAAAGAATCACTACGGGTCAACATTGTTTCCTCAGATGTAATCCATTGGTTATTCATAGACGCCAGTGTCGACAGTATTGATTTCATTAGCTATAGAACATGTACTATAACATATGGAAGATTAGATGGGAAAGAAAACAGACTGGGAGTGCTCAGGCTTCTTGGTACATCAGCCTGATTTATTTAATTGACAGCTGTACCAAGAAAAGTTAAGTCAATTCCAGTGACACCTACAAATGTCTCATGCAAAGCACTTTCTGTCTTTTGCAATGCAGTAGTAATGCCGTCACCCTTTTTTGATAAAGTCAGTCTGTAACAGATTTTGGAGTCATTTACCAACATAAAGATTTCAATTAAAAATAATTGACATATATTTTAAGACATTACTGCTACAGCTAATTTTAAGACTTTACATAACATCAGTAAGTGGTGGTAAACATTTATAGTGAATGAAATTTTAGCAGCACTATTTTATGACAGTCGGAAAACAATGATCAACATATGTGGAACTTTCCAGATGCCAAGAAATAAATGCTGCTAGGGTAACATGTCTTGTCATAAGCATTTCTACTAAATAGCATATTCTACGTTACAGAATTTTAAAAGATACTTTTGGTACATATTTTTACAGCTTTAATGACAAAACAGTGTCTAAGGATCTACCTTATTATGTTACATAAAGCTGCTTCTGTTTCTAAAAATAAGAAGGAAGCTATCACTGGTTTTAGCAAAGTATTCGAAATTCAACTGTTGTATGAGTTTCCCATTTTTGTAGACTTTTTTTTAACTACAACTGGAGAAAAATCAATGTCTGCACATAACACCTAGTTCAGCAATTTTCTTTGATCTCTGTTCTTTTGATTTCCTAATACTCCACTGCAAGCCCATAGCTGATGGAAATCATTTTTCCTTATGTTGCAAACTAAGAAACACCTAAAATGGCCACTTGAATAGCTCCATGAAAGAGAGGATTTAGTTCATCTTCATGCAAAGAGATGAGCTTCCAACATCATGGACTGGCTCTCATTAGCAACAGTGATGAATATTCACCTGCAAAACCCTAATTCCAGGCCGGTGCAAGCATTCCATAGCTGCTGGTATAGACTCCTGCATGCTTACTGTTGCTACAATCAGCTTTCTGATTTTTTTTTTAATTTGCATTATCTGAATTGGCAACCTCGTTACCTGATAGGCTTCGCTGCTCTAAACACTTCCATGCTCTCTTCTAACTTCTCAGTTTCCCATTCCTGGGAGTGAGGGAAATGCTGAAGGAGCAGGAGATGGTACAGCCTGACTATTCTAATAACAAAACCTAGTTATAGCAATACCATTCTTTGACGCTGTAAAAGCACTGTCAAGCAAGACTTCAGAAGTTTGTCTTTACATAGTTGTGGAGGTTTTTTTTTTTTTGGTATATTGACAAATGACAGTGGTATATAATTGTGGGTTACAAAGTGATAAATTTTTTCAATTATAAGGTTCCTTTAAAAAAGTATATGAAAATGGGATTACAAGATATATTTATCTTGCTAAAAAGAAATGTATTCTTGTGAGTCCATGAACCTAACACGGAACAAAACTAGCAAGGCAGGGCTTTAGGGAAGGTTCTGCTAAGTGCTTCTTTCTCTTCAACGGTCTGTGCGTCTTGATCCTTCACAAAGGGGCCCCATCTGTGTCTCTTCTTACAATACTTTTCGATATATCCATTTTGCACTACACTATCTGAAAGCACACTTTCATCTAATATAACATCTTCCTGGACTAAACAGCCTTCAAATAGAGTACTGAGTATTTTTTCCAGTATTTCAAATGTCTCACCTTCCTGTGCACTAACTTCTGACCTTATGTCCTCAACATGGAACATGACCTAAAAACATCAGAAAATGAAAGAAGGGACTGGATTTCTTTAAAGACATGCACCCCCAAAAGGCATACCTTCTAGCAAGTAAACAGACTTACTTCTGTGTAAATTAAAGCAAATGATTGCTTTTTGCTACTGGGATTATCCATTATGTTAGAAAACATTATGAAATCTGATTTGAAGTCATCTAATAGCTTTAAAAGGAAGCCAGCAAAAATTCTGGTAAAATTTTTTGAGAATCTGATTTCAAATGGGTAAACATGAACTACTTTTCTTGTTACAAATAATATTCAGAAATACATTGTAACAGTGGGTAAAAGTTAGATAACTTCTTGTTCAGAGACTATCAGAGATAATATGCACCACCTGCTCCTATGTTTTTAAACTCTGTGACTTCCCTGGTTGTTTACACTGTTTTTCAACTGATGAGGTGTTCTGGTAGTCTCTGATGTAAATCTCAGTTCAAGCAATTTTACAGAAGTAGATTAGTAATCTGAGATAAAAGCTAGGAGTCATGCAAACCTTTACGAAGCATTTTTATTTTCTCGATAAGCTGTAAATGAGCCCATCTTAACTGTTATAGCCCAGCAGTTAAATATATATTCACAAGGCAAAATGTGTCCACTAAGACTCAGCATTTAAAAAAATCTTATGGGGTCCGGCGGCGTGGTCTAGTGGCTAAAGTCCTCACCTTGAATGTGCTGGGATCCCATATGGGCACCGGTTCTATCCCGGCAGCCCCGCTTCCCATCCAGCTCCCTGCTTGTGGCCTGGGAAAGCAGTTGAGGATGGCCCAGAGCTTTGGGACCCTGCACCCGTGTGGGAGACTCAGAAGAGGTTCCTGGCTCCTGGCTTGGGATCGGCACAGCACCGGCTGTCGCTGTCACTTGGGGAGTGAATCATCGGATAGAAGATCTTCCTCTCTGTCTCTCCTCCTCTCTGTATATCTGACTTTGTAATTAAAATAAATAAATAAATAAATAAATAAACATCTTATGAAATACAATACTTGCAGACATTTGCTGGCATTGTTCAATGCTTTACCCTCCGCATTTTCTAAGAAAAAATTTCAAACCAAAAGAAATGAATAACACAACACATTAGCCTAACAGAAAGAAATCATGCAATCAGCTCTCTATAAATCAAAGCCCCTTTGTCAACGAAGGCTTCTGAAACAATAACATGAAGTCATTTGTCTCCTGTGTATCATTTATGATCAAGTTAAGTCTACTAGAGTATTCTATTACAAAACGTGACTTAGCCTGCGTAAGTATTACATGGGGATTATCCTAAGTACATAGAATGGCAAAACAATGCTAGATGAGAGGCTGATTGACTGTATTTCTCCTCTTTCCCTTGGGACATTTGGGGCAGGTGAATTAGTTCCCTCAAAACTCACTTTCTTTTACAAAAGAAAAAAAAATGAGGGTTGGACTCTTCCAATTTCTAAGCACTATTAAGACTTTCATAATTCCAAGTGTGACAGTACGTGATGACAATATTAATAGCTAACTGTGTAGGTGACATTAACCTAGAAATCAGATTTACCAAACGCACCATTAAGGAGAGAGAAAGTAATTGACACATTTGACAGAATGGTTAAGAAACTATTTGGGTGTCCCTATCCAGTGTAGGAGTGTTGGGATTTGAGCTTGGCTCCTATCCTGCTAATGTGCACATCAGGAGACAGCAACAATGGCTCAGGTACTTGAGTCCTTGCCATCCATGTGGGAAACCTAAACTGTGAACCTGGCTCATGGTCTCAGCTTGGTCCAGCCCCAATTGTGGAAATCTGGCAAGTGAATTAGAGGATGGGAGTTTCAACTGTTCATCGTTCTGACTTTCAAATAAACACAAGTTTTAATATTTTGAGAGCCTATATTTTAAAAGATTTATTTATTTATTCACTCATTTGCAAGAGTTATAAAGAGAGACTATCCATCTGGTGGCTCACTCCTTAGATGGACACACTGGCCAGGGCTGGACCAGGCCGAAGCCAGGAGCCAGAAATGTCAGCAGGGTCTCCTACACAAACAGCAAAGGCCCAGATATTTGGGCCATCCTCTGATGCTTTCCTCGATTAGCAGGGAGTTGGATCAAAAATGGAGCAGTGGAACATGAACCAGTGCCCACATAGGCTGAGACTCTACCTGCTACACCCCAATTAAGAAGAAGGAATACATACTGCATATGATTCTTTTAAAAAGTTAACAAGATCAATCACAATTTAGATTATGTGATTTTACTCAACTAAACTCTTCAGTCCATTTTTCATTTCTTCAACCTCCATGATGCTGTAAATTATTGACTGGTTTGGAGTGCACAGCTCCACAAAAGCTAATAAGAAACCAAGGTACCCACAGGGGGCCACACAGTGAGGCTCCCTGGCCCCTTCTACTTCAGCTTCTAATGTATTCTCACCACTGCATGATCAACACTCGGTATCACAAAATTTTCTTCCTTATGAATGTTATATCTCAGATTAGTTTGCCAAATTCTACCTGGACTTTTTTCTAGTTCCACTATGTTAGTGTGACAGGACACTGAAGTTTTTATAATCAGTATCAGCAACAACTACATATAGCTGTGTGTATATATAAATGTATACACACATATATAGCCATATATATTTCATATATACATATGTTTTTCTATAAACTACTCAGTTGTACATGCACATTTAGCTTATAATTACATGCATTCATGCATATACATCTGCCACAGCATAATTAAATATTTACTCCTTATAGATACCAATTATCATTTGCTATTCACTGTGAATACCAAATCTGTAGGCATATTTTGTTCATTACATTATCAAGCCATAAAACCTTGACATAAACCACTCTGGATCTTTAGCTCCCCAAACA